ACAAGGCACCAGGAGCAAGCAGGGCATGCTGAAAACGTGCAGGGGGACTCCGCAAAACATGGCGGGCTGAACCACGACCGGCGTGGATCCGGTGCGTCATTTTTTTGTAAGTTACAGAAAAAGTTACGTGGGATAAAAGGCAACTTCTTGAAACATTTGCTGTTTATTTTGTGAGACTGCCCCTCCAGCACCTGGTGCCCTGCGAACCGATGATGTGCCATGAGGAGAAGGGGCTGAGGAGCTGCTGAACGGCAGCAGCGAGGGAAGGCACAAATAGGGAGGCACAAGTTAGGGAGGGATTCAGAACAACTCCGCGCAGCTGTTTTTGTTATACCATCGAGCTGTAAAGTTGAAAAACGATTTGAAAAGCAAGGGATGTGCCGGGAGTACTGGCGTGTCCCGCTTATGGGCGCTTGGGGCATTCTGTGTAAATTGAACTTTTTTCCCCCCGTTTTCTTGGATGGCTTAATATCACAGCAGTGGAAGGGAAGAGCAGCAACGCGCTTGGAGTGTGGAGCCTTTTCCTGATCCCTCTGGCACCGAACTGCACCAGAGTGAACTGAGGACAGAGGCAAAGCCCGGCTGCTCCCTGTCTTTTCGTTTCTGTAATCCCAAGTGTGGAGGCTGCACCTGAGAAGGCCCTCGGGTTTTTTTCTATTTAAAAACAGAATAACCAGCTGGGACAAAAATAATAAGTTATGCATAATTTACTGGACGGCAGGGGAGTGAGTGGAGGGGCCTTGTTGGAGCTGGAACGATTTGCACCCAGGGAATGTCTGGACCAGTGGCTGTACCCAGAGGTTTGCACAGTGATGCTCCTCTAATGGTACTTGCAACCCCCAGGACTGAGACCACCTACATCCCTTTCACAAGTAAATAGCAACCTGCAACTTTTCTTTTCACTTCAGGTTTATTTGATAATTTTAAGTCATGGGGGTTTGTGGAGGTTTCTGGTTGGGCTTTTTTTTGTCTGCTCGGTGGCCTTCTGGGAAGGTGACCCATTTGTTTCTAACCAAAAGCACCTAGGAAAACCTGCCCCATAAGAGAAGTTATTCGTCTCAGTGAGGGGGGGGAAAGGATGGAAAGACAATTACTGTGTCTTGTGAGTAATATAATACATGACTCAAAACATTAAGCAAGAGTGTTGACGTGATAGCCTCATCCCCTCAACGTGAATTCAGTCTGAGGCATCAGGCTGAAATGTGAAGTAGTTCCTCTGAAGCCAGGTTGCTCTGGCTTTGCATCCAAAGCCGCTGGCATTGGAAGTTAGTCCATAACCTAGAGGAAATGGAGCTGTTTAAGGAGCTTATTCCTCTTACAAACACAAAACTGGGAGATCCCCTCTGTAGTCTTTATGTTTTGATTTAACGGGTAGAAGGTGGATTTCACAAGCAGCCTTGGAGTGTCAGGACCTGCAGTTGCACTGGAGGGTCCTGCTGTGGCTCAGACAAGATGGACTTTAAAGACCATCCAGTTCCAACCCCCTGCTGTGGGCAGGGACACCTTGCACTAGAGCAGGGTCCCATCCAACCTGACCTCGAGCACTTCCAGAAGCTGAGCTCTGTGCACAGGACAAATGATTTTTTTTAACTTGACATATTTATATTTCAGAATGTGACTGTCTGAGTGATGATAAAAATAATTATTCTATTAGAAAATTGGAAAGTTATGGGGAAATTCATTAAGTGTCCTAGAAAACTCAAGTTTATTTTCATAGAATGAGAAAAAAAAAAAAAGAAGTTGTAATTGCCTGCTGTGGTTTGCTGGGTACTTCTGGAGAAAGGTGATGTTGCAGTCCCACTGAGGCAGGGGCCCTTTGCTACTTAATTGTAGTGCTGTCAGTTGAAAAAGGGTACACTGAGAAAAGAGAATGCACTCTTGCTGCCGTTAATGCCTCATTACCCTGTTCCTGTTCAGGAGTGGTCTCCCTTGTTCCATCTGTGCTGGAGCATCTCACTGAACCATTAGTAGCATTTTTTTTGGGCTGTATGTGCTGAGGTGAGTTTGCTTTTGGAGCTGTCTGCATTTCCTTGGTTTCTCTCCCTCCTGTGCAAAGAGGCACTAATGTGGGTGATGCTCTTGATATTCTGTATCTAAAAAAGAATACGTTGCAAATACTTCCTGCACATAAAATGTTTCAAAATTACACATTGCAAGCATCGGTTTGAAAGATGGAAGAAATTCAGACTTAAAAAGGATCCCTCTTTGTCATTACTCTCTTCCCTCTCTTCCCTCTTCTTCCCCTCCAACTGTGCATTTATGGGTTTGGGCTCTGAGCTTGAGCACGGAGCTGTTTCATTTCTTCAGGCAGCAGATCCGGAAGGAAGGGGAGCTTTAGGTAGATAAACATGGATTTTGTTGTGGAAACAATGTGGCAACAATGTGGCAGCGCGTTGCGGGGGAAAGTGCCTTCGAAGGGTGTGGGCTGGATCCTCCTGCCCTGGGGGCGTCCCAGGGGCTCAGCTGCTCAGGAGGGTTTAAGGGGTTGTGGTGGGACAGACGGAAGGTGAGCGAGCCCAGCTGGGAGCTCATGTCCCCGAGAAAAGAGTGGCTTCCTCTGGTGACTGATTTCACACTTACTTCAGAGCCAGTCACAGGATGTAGCACATTTGGGTGACTCCTGTATCACTGTGCTGCCCTAGACCATGTTTTCTTAATGAAGCATCGTTTCCCAAAATACGCCGCCGCCGTACCATGTTTTGGAATAGGGTGGCAAATACAGCTTTGTTTGTCAACTATGGGGCGTACTGGGGATGGCAAATGATTCATTGCCCAGCAAGCGAGAATTTAACTTGTAAGAAATGTCTATAGTTGGGCTTTTAAAATCCTGTATTTTATGTTCAGGAGTCTTGTGAGAATGATAAGAATTTGGATGAATTTTCACAGAGGAGATGGTTAAGGTACATGGGAGATTAGTCTTCTAACACCTTGGCAGATTTGGCCATGATTTTGTGCAGTCAGTGTAAAAGAAAAATAACTTGTAGCTGTGATTTTATTTCTGATTTCAAGGAAGGTTAATTTTATGCCTTGCTTCAGGGTGTGACATGCACGGTTGTTACCCCCGAAACTGAATAAAAGCAAAGCACATGAATTTCGGTTTTCTTCTGGAAGTCCATGAACTGTAGGGGATCACAGTATACTACCTCCCATCCAGGAAAGTGTTGTGTGGTTTGAGGTTTTATTATAGACATTTACTACATCTGTACTCAGGGTAGATTCATGTTTAAGTGGCAGCCCAGCAAGGCCAAAGCCAGGTGTTAGGATGTGGCATGGGTGACTCAGTAGGTGGTACACTTCCTTCTCTGACAACATTCAATAAGTGTCCTTGTGTGGTGAGGGATGGATCAGCTCTTGGCTGACATGGAAAAAACCAAACTAAGGCTTTGGTACTTGTACAGGAAGGTCCTCTGGGAAGGACAGATATTATTCAGGCTGCTCAGTTGTGACATGGCTGGGCTTTGTGGGTCTGGGAAGCAAGAACTGGATTTAATTGTACTGCTGAGCTGAGCATTTGGGCTGGAAAGGGCCAGTCTGGATGGTGCTGCCATTCCAAATCTCTGGTTCTCCAGTGCTCAGACCCTGTCGAGAGGCACAGGAGAGGTCCCTCCACTCTCAGAGGTTTTCCTGCAGCAAGCTTCCAAATGCAGGGATAAAACTGTATATCCCATAGTTCTGAACCTCTCTGAAACCTGCCAGGGCTCACAAATGACCAAAGCATGCATGAGTTCTGTTCTGCTTTAAAAAGAAAAGAAAAAAAAAGTAAAAAAAAAGTAAAAATCACATCTTGGAGCAGTAAAAATGTTTTTTCACCTTAAGGATTGTTATTTCAAAGGATATTTTCTTAGTGACTGAAAAAGAAACTGGAAATCCCATATTATTTCTCCTTCTCTCCCTCAGCCAGGTCCTTTCTATGCCCAGAATTTTATCTGGTGTGAGGAAAAGGCTCCCTGGATAGACTGAGAGATGTTTGAAGGCAGCATTTAGGGGGTGTTTGCCACCTGGCCCCAGTGTAGCTGGTTGGCTGCTGGGATGACACATCCATTGTGGATGGCACAGCCAGGGGTTTCCTTTTCCAAACTCTGCTGTAAGGAACAGAGGGGGGAAATATTAGAGAATTTAGCTGTAAAGTGCAGAGAATGGTACTTCTGAAATAAGCACAGAAAAGTAAAGAGGTAACTCATTGTTCTAACACATAGCAAGATACAGTTGTTTCTCTTTGGCTACAACTAGACTGCAAACATGGCATTGAGAGCAAAACTGAGAGTCCTGACAGAATGAAAAACATCTCTGAGCTCAGTTCACATTTAAATTGTGCTTTATTGTAGCCACAGAAACAAAAAAATCATTATCATAAATCCCGATTCTGCGGCAGTTTTACAACAAATTCCACCTTCCGTATCTCCAGAGTTACGTTTGGAGGCTTCAGTCTTGTAAGAAAAACCCACTGCTCTTCTGTGTAAGGGTTTGAGCATCGTTGCCTGTCAGGATTACAGGAGGTAGATATTTCTTCTTCCTGTGGAAATGGCACTTTTTTTAGTACATTAACTCATTAAATGGGATTAGGTAGTGTTACATTAGTTTCAGAAAAAGGTATTTTGTCTTTGTGAATCCCTGTGTGGCCTCACTGGAAATCTAGATGCCCTAAATGTTTGTGTAACCCATGCAAGTTGTAGAGACCTTTGAGAGCCCTATTAAGTGCCTACCTGTGCTTAACCAATTTTGAAAAGCCGATGCTCAGTCTCCCTCTGAGCACCTCATTTGCACTGTTCTGTGCTAAGATAAAGACAGACCCTGACTAATATTGTTCTGTTCTTTCTTAGAGTTATCTATTTTCTCCACTTCCTTGAAATGGCCCACAGAGAAATATTTGCTGATTAGTGGAAATAAACCTGATACGTTTTTCCCCTGTGTTTTATAAACAAAATAAAATGCATTAGTTGTGCAACTTGAAAATATTTATTAAAAAACTGGTTTTTTTGGGTTTTTTTCTACTTTCAGGCAGGCAGATAAGAAGCAACAGCAGCAGTGAAACATTGCATGTGAGTATCATTTATGCTTTTAAGAAAGAGGAGGGGCATTTTATTTTCCTGAGGAACTTCTGTCACTTTGAAAAGCTGAAAATCTTTTTGCTGGGTGGATTTTAGCCTTTCTGATGGAAAGTTGCAGTTTGGTATGGAAAGCAAAGCCCCGCTTTGGAGGGGACCGGACTGAGGGACATACAGGATGCTTTACATGGAAAAATTTCCTACTGGTCCACACATTCAAGAGAAACTGTTTTTAATGAGTTTCCCAAGTGACAGTGAAGCTATTTCAGGAATTCTTGTGCAGGCAGAGCATCCCAGGACTGGCACGTGGCTGTGTTCATTGCAAGCTGGCCAAATTGAAATGATTTTTAAGACAAGCAATTTTCGTTCCCAGACTCCTTGTGTTGTGCAGGAGCAGCCACAAAATACCTTATTTTCAATAATATATTTACTGTTATCTCTAATAACTCTTGTAATGTGAGACCTTCTGTTGAGCTATGTGATCTAACAGCTGGGATTGCTGAGGACCTGCTGTAAAAGAAAAAACACTGGTGGTTTTTGCAAAGAATGAAAGCGATTCATAGCAAAGTTTCTACATGATTTGAAGGTAGTTTGTGTGCTTTCTCTCTCCCTGGGATTTAAGTGGTTCCCAAATTTCCAGCAGAAGGGCCTCGTGGCAGTTGCAGTTGTGTTACCATCAGAGAGAGCAGAGGTGAAATGAATGTCTGGGTTAACCCCCGAGGATCTCACAGGGAAGCAACAAACCTGGTGTCCTGGCACACTGTAAATTCCCTGGATTTACTCTAAAACTTGCCAGTGCTGCTTGAGCTTAGTGTTGAGTTGGTGCTCACCTGCCAGTGCAGGTGAGGAGCTCTGGGAGGTGAAGGAGTGGGAGCCCGTAGGTGACAGACCCTGTGCAGCTGCAGGTTTTCAGCTCTTCCTCTCACTCATCTATTTGTGGGATTTGTGGCGTTGGTGATTCCCAGGACCTTGGGATTTTGCCGTGAAAGGAAAGTTTTAAAACTTACCCTCATTTATTTATAATTATAAATAGTAATAAAACCAGAGGCAGTTTCTGGGCTCAGTATATTCCTCGCTGCAGGATTTCCCCCTTGACACCAATCTCTGTTCCAGGCTGCCCTCCATTCCCTTTCTGCACTAAACATTCCCTGTGTTGCTTCCAGTAGCTCAGTTGCACCACTGTGTCCATCCCACTGTCTCTCCCACTCCAAGGCCTCCTGCACTATTGCTGTGCTCTGATGGGGAAAGGTTTTAAGCAAGGAGCCATCCAGAATGTTTAAATTAATCTATAAATTAGGCTCAGAGAAGTGACAGCCAAGTATGCAGTTTCTACCTGTTTCCAAACAAACCCTGTGTTTTCTCAGAGGTTTTGGAGCAAGTTTTGTAGGCTGAGTACGGCAAAAAGCAGTGGAATCAGCAAATACTGATCTTTATGATAGAACAGGATATTGTCTTTAGTAATTGTGGCCCAGGTCAGGTGCTCTTGATCTGGAAAGAAAATCAAGTTAATTTGCCTCTTAATGTGATCTGGTATTTCTTAACATCTGATATCTAGGAATAGATGTCATGTCAGAAAACCACAAAGTTAGGACCAGAAAAATTTCATGGAGGTTTTAAAATAGAATAGCTCTTTTCTTCCTTTTTTTTTTTTTTTTCACTTGGGCCAAAATCTTGCAATATTTTTAAAATATAAAAACATTTTTTGTAGTTATATGGTAATATGGATCTGATCATTGCCTGGAATAAGGAATCAGATCTCAAATGCCTTGTACCTGAGTGGTTATTAAAAAGCATGGGCAGTGCATGGGTTTGAGCTTTACTGATTCACCCCAGAAGAGAATTTGGACATTTAGTGGCTTGGGCTAGTGTGGGCTTATATAGGACTAGTCTGGACTTATACAGGACTAGATTCTTTTGAATTCAAGTTTCTACCTCAGAGAAAGAGCCAAACTGGAGTTCTTATATCCTTGTCATGAGAAGCCTTCCCAGTGAAAGCCTAAAGGTATCAGAGCAGGTTTACCCAAAACAGAAAGGCCGAGGAGGACTCTGCTCCTGGAAATAAATGTATCTTGAGTTTTATCAACTTTTATTTTATAGATTTGTTCTTTAACCTGAACTCCCTAAATATTAATTGAAATTAATGTCCTTTTAAACATTAGCCAGCACGAGAGGCTGCCTCTAGGTGGATTTTGGCCTCAAGTTGCCAGTCATCAGCTGAGCTGTAGCAACCGATGACACATGTTTTCAGAGATGAATGCTCATAACTAATAGGAATGGGAACTGCATGTACAGCTTTTCGTCCAATTTATAATATTTTTTGTTTTGTTCATTTTACCCTGGAGACGTCTGTTTGCTTTTATTCCAATGGAAATTAAAGAGCCAGCCTCGCTCAAAGTTATTAGTGTTACATTATATTTTCAGAAATTTAACCAAGCCTAGGTTCACTCAAGTAAATCAGCTCCTGTTTTCAGCCCAGCCTCCTTTTAATTTGATGAGTTGTGTTGCATTTTAGTGGTCAGAATTAAAATTAACATCAGCCTCCTATTCACCTGGATCCAGGACAATACTGGAGCTAAGGCAGCACAGCCTCATACAGTCTTAGAACTGACTGTGGGAACCTACATTTCTGAGCCATTTCGTTTATTGCCCCTTAATATCTGCCAGTGATAGAAGCTCGTGTTTATCTGCCACGTTCCAACTTTAAGACCCCTCTCAAAAATGGGGAAATGTTGGATAGTATTGATTTTAATCCCACTGAGAGGCTTTGCCATTTTATAAATTCATGTTATAAATTGTCAGCATCTGGAGGTTTCCAAAATTGCCACTGGTGGAAAAAGAAGTTCTTTCCGTGCAGTGGTTTTGACAGAGGACTGAACTGAATTGTTTAAGTGTTGTACATCCGTGGCCTTCCAGAAATTCCATTCAGTTGCCTGGGCGTGCAGATGAACTGAGCATCAAACCAACCTTCATGGGGTAATAAATCCTGGCTTTGGAAATGGAGGAAGTCAGTCAGTCAGTGGAGCCTGTGGATGGAAGAAGGGGAAGTCACTCTGTGGAGCTGAGTAAACACAGTTCTTGCTGTATATAACTCAGAAGGAGACTTTGCAGCTTAACGTGCTCCTCTGAGTTCTTACCTTATCCATCTTCAGTGTTTCCTCTGTAAAGGGGTCAGAAGCTTCTGTTAGAGCTGTTTGCTTTGAAATAAGTTATTCAGTACTGCATCCATCTAATCCAAAGCTTTTCCATCAACACTAGACTGAAAGTTTCCTGTTCTTTGGTTTTCTGTGGTCTACCTTCTTACTCACCATAACCTCTGGACTGCCAGGTCATACATGACTTGTAAGTCCTGACTTGTGTTTGATTATAATGTGAGCTCCTAAACCCCTTAATTTGATTTCTAATTCCGTTGGGCAAGATTGAAATATGAGTTTGAAAGCAAAATGTTATCTATTAAAAAGCCCGTTTTACCAGTATGTAAAAAATGTCCAGTTCTATGTAAGCCCAGCTTTTTTTGTCTAAGGATATAACATCCTGGTGACATCAGACACACACTTAACTATATTATTTTTGGCCCTTTCACAATGGCTTTAACTCTCTGTCTTGTCTCAGCCAAAATTGTGTCAAAAGGGGTCAAAAAGGAGAATGTAGTAGCAGCACTAAGGAGGTCATTTTTGCTTAATACGTCGGGTGTGCTCACTTAAACCCTGGGGCTTAATATCTGAGGAACATTTGATTGGCTTGGATCAAGTACAAGTGCTTCTATACTGGGAACTAATCCTGATAGGTTTTACAGGATGTTTCAAGTTACTAAAACACAAACCTCTGAGTTAGAGGGAAGGAGGGCCCTGCTGGGTTTGCCTCTGGAAGAAACAACAGAGGCAGAACGACTCGTTTGCTTTTCAGGAGGATGAGGGAGGGGGCGTTGGGACACTGAGTAAAGGCTGACAGAGCCTTGGTGGCTGAGGACAGGGGAGTTACACACCATTTCCATTATGTTCACGTCAGCTTAACGACACCAATGGCAATCTTGGGAACTCTCTCTGCTCCACAGAGCAGCTACAAACAAACACCAGCCAAGCTGTTCCCCCTCCCCAGACTCTGCACAGCCCTCTGCCCGTGGTTCTCTTTGCTCTGGGGAGTGCACACCCGTGGATGGCAGGGAACATTCTGGAAGTGGGGCACATATTCTTTCTGTGAAATCACGTGAAATATTGGCAGTGACAATAAAAAAGTTCTTCCGACTCCTGCTGCGATATCCTCGGGACTGGGGGTGTTTGCTGCAGGGCAGATGTTTGGAACAACATGACAGACAGCAGGACAGAGGATCTTTAGGGTTATGGGAGAGGAAGGAGAACTGTTTGTGCACCTGATCAAAACCCACCAGAGACGGAGTGAGAAAAGGACACGTAGAGCAGGAGCCCACTGCTGAGATGCCTCCAAACTGTATTTTCTCAATATGGTTCTTTTTTGGGGAAGAACTCCCAGAAAAGGGGCTTCTCTGCCTCTGGGGAGTAGAGAAGGCAGGAAAATTCTGCTGCTTGCTGGAAAAGCAGTGGGTGGCAAAGATACCCTTTCTGGGTTTAAATATGATCAGTGAGATGATCATATTTATCACATGATAAATGTGAGGTCCTGATCTAAACAAGCTACCGAATAAACCCCTTCAGCCTTGTTTTATATCTGCTTTGAAATCTTGGAAAATTGGATGTTCACTGATGTATTTCTACTAAAAGTTTTCCTTGGGCCTGACCTTTTTTTGCTATAATATTATCCCTATGTATATATTCAGCAATTAGTTAAACAAAACATTATGAGTCTTAATTATCAAAGTTTGCTAGATTTTGAATTATGTTAGAAAAAGATGAAAAATATATTTCATTTAACTAACTACCTACTAAGTATTTGCCTGTTCATCATCCTGGACTGTATTTAGATAAAAGTTGGATATAATCTACGAGGCACAAAAAGACCACCAAAACGTCTCATTAGTTGTTTATGTTAATGTTCCTGTTTATATAGGGGAATAATATTTATCTGAAGATATTTTGCATGTAAAACCAACATGTTAAACATAGAAGTCAAGAAATTAAAAGGTCAGCCTCTGGTTATCACAGTCTTCCACATTTCAGAATTATTAGGTATCATCCTCTCATGACTTTTATTTATAGCTAGGAGGAAACCAAGCTTTCCTGTTCATGCATGGAGTACAAGAGCAAAAGAGACTTTCCTTCTTTTTTGAATCCTAATCTCTTTACCAACTCTGAATGAACCAGTCATTCCAGAGAACTGATTAAAAACAAGAATTAGGAAAGGGTTCCTGCTGGTTTTTATAGAAGAGGTCCTGCTGTCAGTTCAGTAAGTGTTGGTTACAGTGGCATCAATCCACTCAGTGCTTTAACTTCCCACATGAGTTTGACAAAAAATACATGTATCTCTTACCACTGTTTAAAAAATGCAATTTAAAATATTTTCATTTTTGGGTTGGCCATGAATTTGTCAGGGGATGAGCATTTCTTTTTAAAAAGGAAAAATATCTCACTGAAACATAAAATGACTGAATTTATGTGATTTTATTTTTAAATGGCTTTTAAATCCTAAAGGACAGAGTCCAATCTTGGTGTGGACCTGGGTCACAACCTCAAACCAAATCCTTGTTCAGAGGCTTTTCTACAAAGCTCCTTCCATCCCTACTCTTTCAGTGCTAACCCCTCAGGTGAACAGATAGAAGCAGCATCATTTTTTTAAAAAATCAGTTCCTTTCTGTTAATCCTACATCTGAGAAGAACAATGATCCATCAGATCTCTTAATTTGTGAAGTGGGAGTCAATGACACTGAATACTTGTGTGGAACACTATGCTCACATTAGAGGCTTGGAAAAAGCTCTTTCCCCTAAAAACTCTGATATGATTAATACTGTCTTCTTACACTGAAGCAGTTATATCTGAGACCTTGACTGAACTCATCCAAGCTGGTTGCAAGTCTGGCATTAATCTCAGTTGAAAAATCAGGCCATGGTGAAGTCAACAAAATAAACAATGTCTCCAGGAATAAATGCAAAGGGAACAGGAAAAGTGGCCTAAATTTCTATGTCTTCAATCTTAGGAAGAAAGAAAATGTTCTTTTCACAGCGAAAAGGACAGGAAGCACTGTGTGTGAAATAAGTCAGTTATGGATTTCCAGTGCTGTTTATTGGAAAGCAGTGAGAGCCTTTTTCCTGCCTACTTCACCATGAGAAAGGAAGGGCTGAAGTAAAAAACAAGAGTTTTGACTTCTAGCTTTTCTGCTAACTTTTTATGTATCTTTGACCAAGGGACTTATAATTTTTTTAGCTTTGTTTGTTCTTTTTTTGCCAGATGAGGAAGCTCTTTTTGTTAACTTCATGCATGTGATTTTTCTTATCTCATCACTAAAACCCTAAAAGACTGAAAAAAAAGAACCTTTTTGTCTAAATTAATCTCTTCCTAGAGAGCAAAGAGAGATGAGATGAGCACCTACATCCCATCCCGGACTTGTTCTCAGAACACTTTGGTAGGCCAGTTTTACCATCATTTTGCAGGTGATTTGCACCTCTGTGTGCAAATTCCAACTCAACCCAGGCCCAATTCCACCTCTGTGCAGAAATGATATCAAATCCATGGCTTGGCACCGATCAAACTGGAAGGATGAAGTGGGTGATGGAGTGGTGTTCATGCCTTGGAGGTTTAGGATGAATAGACCTGCTGTTTTCTGAGACCTGCTTTTCTGAAGAGACCACTTGTCTAAGAGTAATAATGAAAGAGAAAAGCCCTCAGCCTTGCTTGAAATAATAGGAATTTGACCATAAAGTCACCATCAGCAGCTTGGTGCCACAACGGGCCTGTGGAATTCCCAACACCCTGTGCTTAGTGGGCTGGGATTTCACCCACCCCAGACGGCAGAGCTGCAATAGTGAATCAGCTTTTGTTGTCCTGGGAATATTTATGATTGGGAGAGCAGAAATCTTAAAAACAAAACAAAAAAAACCCAAACCCCAAGCTGGGATTTTCTTCTCTATGTGTATGTGTATTATTTCTGGCTACCATGGCATTTTTCCTCTGAAATTTGGCTTTGTTCAGTTGATAGTATCACTTTGGTCAAACCAACTACATTTCCAGACCTGGGCTGCACAGCCCATTACTGAGGTGAACAGAGGGGTTTTTAACAAATAACCTTATTAAGGTTTTTGCTCAGCAAGAAAATGTTCAATGTGCAGTGTCACAGTTCTTTGGGCTCCTCAAACCAAGAGGAATGTGCCCACCTTTTCAGGAGGTGCTTTTTTCCCTCTCTTGTCACATGTTCTGTGCTGTTCGCCACGCGAGTTACAGATGGTAATTTTAATTTGAAAACCCAAATGTAATAAATTCAGCAGATTAGTGTTTGGCCAGGATTGAGTGCTGAGATTGTTCAATTGACTATTATGGAAAACACATCAGCCAACCTCCTCCCTGACCAGAGAGCAGTGGTTCCATCCCCTCACAAACAAAGCCTTTGTTGTGTCCTCCTTGCCCTGTGACTCTCCTCTCTACTGTGCATTTGTTTCCAAAGCAAAACAAAGGATTCATAATCTTTGGCAGTTGAAATATTTCAGCTTGGCTTTTCCTGTTATACAGCTTACCTACTAGGACTGGATGGATGAGCTCACTGCTGAGGAACAGTATTTTTTCAGCCCTGTTTGTTTCTAGTCCAGCTTTAACCAAAAGTCAACCCTAAAGCCGAGTCTAAGGCTTTATGTGCTGCTGTGGAAGGACTCAAGCCTGTCCATTTGCTCTGGTTTGTGAACATGAACACTCAACACACATGTGCATTATTCAGATTCCCTGTGATGAAATGTAGAGGTATTGGATAATCAGCGTGTATCAAACAGCTTTGGATTGTTTTACCTGCATTCTGCCTGTTTATTTATAACATGTCTGCACTTCTGTGGGATTCCATGAAAAAAGTCACAGTAGCAACAAAGATTTCATTGGTCCTCCCAGTGTGCACCAAACTGCCCCTGGCTTGGAGTGCAGGACGAACACCTTCCTGCAGTGCAGACAGCCCTGTCCTTGCAGAGTATGGACTAGGGACAGATTGGAGCTTTTTGGTGTAACCCTCACGAAGCTGAACTTTCCAGTGAGTCGTGTGATATCACTTCCTTAGTGTTTTGGCCATTCTGTTCAGACAGGTTTGAAGTGTTTCATTTTTTATTCCCAGGCATTGAAACCAAGAGCCAAAGAAGCCCAGCAGAGGAAAGGAGGAGAAGAACACATCAAAGGCTGTAAGGTACTGGACTTCTTTCTTAGTTTTATGTTTTATTGCACTTCATCAGCATAAACTGCACAATTTATTAATCACTGGGCATAATGGGGTCTTCAAAGAAGCAGCTATTAATTTAGAAAGTGAGTAGACTACCTGAGTGAGGACTGCACCAGTATTAGGCCTGAAAGATGAGCAATGAATGACTCTTACTTTTTGGATGAATATTTGTAGGATTACATATAAATTTGAGGGTTGAACAAGAGAGAGGAAGTGAAAATGGAAAAAATGACACTTCTCTACAAACCCCTCTGCCAAGCATTTGAGTTGTCCGAGAGTGCATTTTTTGACATTTAGTAGCAATTATTTGATGTATTTTAGTATTTGAGGATGTTGAGGCCCTCGGCCAAGGCTGGGGATTTGTGATGCATTACCCACATTGCACATGTAGGGACAGCTCTGCTCACAGGAACAGAAACAGAGACTCACAGAGGTGCTGGTTGTTTCCATGGGGCGAAGGAAGAGGTCAAACAGCAGGTCAGTGGCATAGCCAAGAGCCAAACCCAAGTGTGCTGACTCCCTGTCCTGCTTCCTGAACTTTGCCTCCTTTAGCAGGAAAATGGCAGCCAAAATGCTGCAATTGTCTGGGGGGGGGAACAGGACTGGGAAAGATTCTCAGAAAAAACATGTTCAGCTTTTTATGAATCTGCCACTATCGGGATTTGTCACTTGCAGTGACAAAACTGCCTGTGCAGTTTTTGTCTATTGGCTTCTGCTCCTCACCCAAATTCGTTAGTGAGTCTTGACTTCTCGTGTTCCCTCTATTTCAACATTTCTCTCTGCATAGTGCCTGTAAAGTCAGAGGCTTTATTTGGTTGTTTTATAACTTTCCAGCGAGGAATAGCATTATACAACCAATGGCAATACATGGAATTAGGCATCTCCAAGTGGAGAAGGGGTGGAAATTTGAAGCCTGGCAAACCGTCTTTACAGGAGGAGTTGGACAAATGTTCTGTCCGCTCTCCCGAAGCCTTTACACGCTGGCACACGGCATGTTCAGTGGTTGCCATAATCTTTTATGAGGAGTGTTTTTCCATTCCTGGGAGTGAACAATGCTGTGGGATCTGCAGCACTCGTTGTGTTCGGCGTAGGAAATGGCTAAAGCACACGGAGCACACGGGAACAAAGCACAGTGCCTGCCAGCTCCAAAGATGGATCTGATAAGCGCTGCCTGGGTAAGAGAATCAACGTGCCCAGAGCATGATAGGAGTGTTGTCATTCTGCTGAACAGCCAGTTGATTTAACTGCTACCCCTTACCACTGAGACCTGGATTTATGTGTTTGTAGTCATTTCTCTGTCAATACGTCAGTGCCCAATGCAGATCAGTGCTCTCTAAAGCACAACGATCAAATTTCCTCTTCACTGATGGGGGAACTGCAGCCACAGAAAGACTTCATGATTTGTTCACACAGCCAGCCAAGATGGAATAAGGGATTCCCAATTCTCAGTTTGTTGTTCTAGTGATTGGTGGAGACTGTTTCCATTCCCAAGCAGTAATGTCTATCCTAAACCCATTAAGAGCACTCCTTCCTATTCCATAGTCCAAACTAGAACAAACTGTACTGATGTGACCCCAGTTGTGAAGCTATAAATTTAATTTACTAGGTCATTTATATGGGAGGAGAAGTAGTGTCAAAATACAAGAATCTATGCAAGGAGAAAACAGAAGAGGCATGGATAACATAACTCCTCTAAAATGTCTCCACATGTGATTTGTGTGGAAACAGTTGCTCTGAGATCAGAAGGAAATCTGTTGCTTTTGGCAAACCTGGTAATTCTACAGCTCAGGAGTTACTGGGGCCTCTGTGTGAGACTTTCTGAGCTACGGACTTATCTTAAAGACTTCCTGTTTTGTAGCTCTGGGTCCTGCCAAGATGTATGTCTTAGCATGATTCAGTTCTGTTGTTACAATGATAGCAAGATTTACAGGGAACTGGTAAAAGATTAAAAGATAATTCAGCAGCAAGCAGAAAGATGAACACGGTCTGGAATGGAAGGTAGAAGAGTTGAGAAGAAAATTTCAGGCTGGATGTTATTTAGCAGTATTTTAGCAGCTTTCTGTGGCTCCATCAGTGCAGTGAGACTGTCCTCACTATAAAACTTGTTAGCTCTAAAACCCTTTTCCTTCCCCTGCCAGCAGCGTGGTCAGAAGCAGCTTCAGAAGGAGGTAGAAATGACCAAATTAAATTTGTTTGATTTCAAAAATATTAACAATGCCATTAACCAAAGTAACTAGAGGATATGATCTCTGAAACTCTTCTGTACCAGGTGCTGACACAGGGTGGTCAGTTCTTTGGCAGCTACTCTAGGTGATGTAGATTCCATCAAACTATGGAACAAACCATCTCTGGTTTGAGTTGTGGACACACAGGGCTTGTTTTGAAGCTAATAAATGCAATTATAGCTGCGTTTCTGTGCAAATGGGGAAGGACAGCTGAAGAATAAACCATTATTTGGCAAAAGGATCTGACCACACAAGGTCTTCCAAAAGCAGTAAAGGGTCTGACCATCAGTGGGAAACATCACAAAATCTTCCTCTGGAAAACTTGTGACCCTAATCCCACCTCAAGACTCCAACCCCACCACAACCCAATCTACCCCATACTAAATAACAACAGAAAACCAGGAAATCCATTTATCTCAAAATCACAAATCAATGCACTTGAGGAAATATTATCTAAAAGCAGAGTTAATAACTCCCAAAGACAGGGCAGATAGAAACCCATCTTGTATCCACACTGTGAGTGCTCTCAGTTTGGGGCAGTTTGATGCCTCAGGGCAGCACTCGGGTGCTACCAAAATGTGGCATCATAAGATAGAGAGACCAGGAAAATAGCATTAAAAAGCACAGCAGAAACAGGTATTTCACCAGCAGTGCTGGAGGTGCTGGGCAGCACTTTGTCTCCAGGGTCAGCTTTCTTTCCATGGTTGCATCTCAAGGAAATGGATCCAGGAGTAGAGCTCTCATCTGAGCTTTAGCCACACTCTAAAGAAAATATTAGCAACCTTGGGAGAGAATATAGATAGAAAGAAATCCCAAACTACTCAGAGTTGCTGCTTTTCTAGGCTTTTCTAGCTAGGACATATGAGGAGGGAAATCTTGGTTCTGACAAAATAAGTGGGAATTTTTCTTTTCTCTTCCGAGGGGCCAAGATTTTACCGAGGTCTCAAGAGCAGGCAAGTCTGAAAAGGAGAGTAAAGTGCCTCTTGTTCAACTTTGTAGGCAATCCCTGGGCTGAGCTGGGTGATCTGGGCATAATTCAGTGTTTCTTTTCCAGCCACTGGAAAGATGAGGGAGCTTTTGGAAAGTGGATTCTGATTTAAATGTCAGAATTAAAAAATAAAAAAGTGTGACTGGATGAATGGACGGACTGAGATGATGGATTAGCTCATAAATTTGCAGTTACTCACCTGGTCTCCTCCACAGTATAAAGTCACCTTCCTCCTTTCAGTGGCAGCTTTCCTTGTCACCTCTAGTTAATATTGTAATTAAATAAACATAGATTTGGCATGAAATTTATGCTGGGCTCCCTCTCCCATTCATGGAGCAAGGAAAGAGATACCTCTCTGACCTGGCCCTGTGACACGTGGGACCAATCAGTCAAAGGCTTGGCTTTCCAGAACAGTTGTTTAGATAGCAATTCCCAAGATTTACGGAGGAGATAAATTAGACTGGACTCCAAACCACACCATCTCCCTCGCTTGTCTTAAGGTCAAAAGGGGAAAAAAACATTTACAAACGGATAGAGGGACAGGATGGGAGCTGAGCTCTCACTCCCACTCCCTCACAGACGTGTATAGCTGGGTTAGATGTATATAGGAATTATAGCTGCATCTATATATATGGGAATCAGAGTGAATGAGCTGCTGAATTTGATGCAAGCATGGGCACTCAGAAGGTGCTGATTTAATAGCTCTTGAACTCTGTAGAGGCTCTTCAAGAGATGTTGAAGCAGCTTTGGAAAAAAACACTTCACTTCTGTTGGTTTTGGGTGAAGAAAGCTTCAGTGGCAGCAAACATTCTGTAACAGAGTGGATTTTTTTATTGTGTTAAAAAAAAAAAGAAAAATCTCTGTTTTGAGCTGTTATTAATTGTCACTGTGCAATTGAAAGGTCAAACCTGATGTTCTTGAGCAAGCAAAATGCTTTGCAAAGCCAATGGAGTTTTGCCTGAGAAAATACTGGAGAGAAGCATGCCCAAATGTCAGCATTGGGACTGGATTTGAACTGGATTCAGGCATTAGTTAAGAGACTTCCAGAATAAGCTCCAAATGCAGAAGGAGTGCTATCTTTAAAGGGAACTTCTACATGAGAAATACGGGGTGATACCCTCGATTTATAAACTCTCAGGAAGGAGAAGCAAGTGGCTGTAATTCATGGCTCTGTTCCCTCAGTCCTCGAGGTGCCAGTCACCAAGGTGGCATTAAATAAATCTCAGCTCAGCCTAAATGCTGCTCCTAAAAGTGCCAGCTGACCGTGCACACCCTGGCCCTCCTGAGCAGGAGAGGGAAGGCTGATTTCAGCTCAGGCCTGTTCAAAATGTCTTTGCATCCATTTTTCATGAATGTGCACGAAGCAGCAAAAGTATTTACAGTGTAATAACTGTCTGGGGTGCAGGAAGGGGCTGGAAGAAGTGGGATTTTATTTGTCTCTTTTCATCCTGAGCTTTTAATTTCCAAACAGGATGGGATACAGAGTGCTATGGGTATTCCTTGCATTGAGTGATGTCTCCTGGAAGTAGAATCAGATGTTTGCCAGTCTCACGTCACTCTGCTGTTGATGAATGAGACCTTCACCCTGGCTGCTCATGCTGGTGTTTCATCTGCTCAGTTCTGGCATGGTGGATGGAGCTGAAGTGTATTGAGGGGTTCTTAACTCTTATAATAATAGTAATTAAATGTAATATTAAAGGCTGGGAAGTCTAAACCAGATATCAGCTACCCTTGTGGTAAAACTTGACCCAGTCTCTGCCAAGGGACTGTTTCCATACACTATTTAAACCAGAGTAAATAAATAACTCCTTTGAATCAAAAGATGAAAAAAGCTCAAGCTCTTACTGTAAGAAGTGCTTTGTTCACAGTGAACAATTTTGTCACAGTCAGAAGGTTGTGACTGTGCAGTTTGCTCTGCTCTGACAGATGAAGGTATAACTGGAGCCAACAAACAGAAGAAGGAGGATCCATTCAAAGCAGGAGGAAGGCTGCCTTTTGAACAATGAGCTTATTTAACAGGGTTGGAAAAAATTATCCGGGAACATTGTGGACCTCCATCACTGGAAGTCTTTAAATCAAGAGTGGATGGCTTTCTGATGAGCGTGCTTGTTGCTGTAGCAGGAGTTATAGGCTTTGAAATTCCATGGCTTGTGTCATCCAGGAAGCCAGGGCAGATGACTGCAGTTGGTCTCCAGTGGCCTTCCCATCCCTGCAAAGCACTCAGCTGGATTGCTGCTCGCAGCATGTCTGGAAGAGGAAAAGTAACATTTCTCATATCTGGACAATAGATGACTAGAGGTTTTCCACTGGAGTTACAGATCAGGTTTTCTTGAATTTTCCAGGCAGTGCACTAATTTTTCAGGGAATAAGGAAGCTGCCAAAGGACCTTTTGGTTATTTTAAATTTCATTATAGCAGCCTTTCCACTCCTCCCATTCATCCTCCCCTCCAAACTCAGGGTAGAGGTGACAATGCATAGAAGTGGGGCACTGGTCCAAATACAAAAACACTGGCCATAAATAACTGTGTTTGCACTGGGCATCCTTTAAATGACATTTATAAGAAGTTGACAGAATTTTTCTGAAATGAGTTTTGAAAGAAAACAGTTTTCAGCTGTTTGAAAAAAACCTCTATATTTAATTTGCAAATGGCATGTATTGACTGAGGTTGGCCATAATGTATATAAATAACCATAGACACACGAGGAACAGGATCTACACAGTTAATTCCAAACCTCATTCCAGAATCAGTATATTCCTATAACACTCCTAATCTGATAGAGCAGGTAAATATAGTGTGCACAAAAGAGAAGGAACAACAGGCATTGCTTAGTGGTGTTCTGCAAATAAACCAAAAAAAGCTATAACATAAATAGTTTGGTACATAGAACAGATTTGCTTTGCATCTCAACAGACCCGTTGGTGAGAGTAAATGGTAGGGAAAAAGAAAAATAAAGAGGAAAAAGCCAAAATGAAAACAAATAGATTATGTTTCTAAAATCCTACCAAATATGTGATGCACTCAAATGATCAGACTGTTAACTGGTTGTAAATCTGCCTAGGCTGGGCTTGGGAAATTATTTTTAGTATGACAGCAGAAACCTTTCTCCTGCTACCATTGTGGCACCGTGTCAGCCCAGCAAGAGGCAGCGAGAAGGGCATAAAAGTCAAGTGGGCAACCTGAGAAGGAGGCAGTTCAGCAGGACAAGGTTTTCTGTCCAAGCAGAGGAAGTAATTGTATTTATAACCTGTGAACTTCTGAAAGCCCAGGGAGAGGACATCTGAGGACAGTGCTGTGGCTTGACATAGTCCAACTAGCAGCTGTGTCATTTTTTGAGGAAAAGCATCAGGAATTCTTGCTCAGCTGCTTCATAGAGTGTGTTGGAGCTCTGCTGTCCTTTGTGGAAGGGGGTCCTCCCCAGCACAACGGTTTTGTGTCCACTCTTGCCAACCTCAACATCCCCCTGAGTCGTATCTTATGCTTCCATAAATCTTAAACTTGGGCTGAACCGAGCGAGCTTCAAATAAATGTCTTTCAGTTATTTTTATTTCCTGTCTGGTTTGAGAGTTTGATATTGGTAGGGAATAAGGCTTTTGTGGGTTTGGAAGCAAACCTTCTCCTGTTGGACACTTTGCATACCCCGTGCATCAGGGCAGGGCACGGTGGCAGAAAGCAGGACTTTGGAAGAGGAACAAGGCAGAAGAAACAGTTGTGGAGGTGTTCTGGAGATTAGAGGAGTTGTACAGACAGATTGTGGGGACATATTAGGATTTTTTTTTAATTTTTTTTTTTTTATAGCACTGAGGAAAAAAACAGGAGACTGCAGAAGTTCAGCTGAGCATTCCTGCTGACATCCTCAGCTGTGGAAGCGTTAACAATGTTGACACAGACTGTCAACTTCTGGTTTCAGATTTACTCCACCAGGACCAGAGACAGGAGTTCACCTCCCTCAGACATTGTTTCAAGCTTTGGGGGTTGGAGAAGATAACACTGCATCAACTTACATTTTTATGGGTTTGCTTGTAATTACAGGAAAGGAAGATTGAGTTTTTGAGTGCTCATTTCAGTGGGAGCAGAAATGCAGAGGCACTTGTGAAAACCTTGTCTGTAATTTATTTTAAAAGTGGAACTTTCAGTTTTTAACCTCAGTTCTGTGAAAAAATGTCAAAGATGGAGAAAGGTATTAGGCCCTACATGTGTGCAGAAACAGGTATGACAGTCCTACCTGATTAATTCTGAAGAAAACCAGCACAGCTTTATGCAGATGAAATTGCTCAGAAGTATGTGAAGAGCTGAAAATTTAAACTGAAGGAGGTGAAAACTGGCTCTTGAACACCAAACTCCAAAGAACTTCTCAGTTAACTTTGAAAATCGTAACAATTCTGTTTCTCCAAGCAACCCAAACAAATGGAGGTTTGTCTCCCAGGCCAATGGAAATATATTATACAGTCCTGCTGCAAAGTAAAATGGCTCCAGTGACTCTATGGAAAAGGGGGGAAGGTTCCCAGGCTTTCTGTTCCCAATCCAGTTTAATTTCAAGTCTCGTGCTCAGTCTCACTTGCAGAGTGCCCTAAGAGAAAATGTAATTTAGACTAGAGCTGCATTCACAAGTTAATGGCACTGACTGTAATCCTTCAAAATGATGGATACTGGAATTTTCCCCCCTTCACAGGAGGAATTGCATTTCTCAATGTCACGTAAGGAAAAGAAACAAACATGCAGAAACAGCAACTGGCCCTCAAATCTTTGAAGATACACGTGTGTTTCCAAAGCTGAAGCAATTTTCCTGCCAGAAATCATTGTGACCTAAACTTAGAACTCCTGTATCAGTGCCCTTTGTACTGTGCTGACCTTGTTAAAGATTCTATTCTATGCATTGAAAAAAAAAAGGGAATTGTGGGGGTAGCAGAGAGATCATCAAGCAGGCAAGAGTTTGTCCCTTGAGAAAGAAAAAGACACAAAGCCCAGCTTCTGGTGTCTGTCTCTTGGTTCTGCATGTCATGAGTTCTCAGCAAATGTTTGAACAGGAGTATTTTCTTGGGTTTTGGCTGTTTTTACAGTATTATATCTGCTTTTGCTTTATTTTGTATGCTTGATTTACTGCTGTTGCTTTGCTACACATTCACACCTGTGCTGTGCACATAAGGAAGTTCTTGCTGAAAGATGATGTCCTCAAAATGTTCTTCAAAAACCTTTGAGGGTGAGAAATTGGTGGTTTTGCCTGAAAGAGGTGGGTGGGAGGATGACACGGAGCCATTCTGATCTCTTCCTCCGGTAGTATGAACACTTGTGGTAAGAAAGGAAGCCTGAGAGGGATCTTCTTTACACAAACAATACAGGGAAGGTTATTTCACTAACAGAACTACAGATCCAAACTCTGCATCCCTGCAAAACTATCCACATCTTCTCCGGGAGCCAGCTGGGGAAGGGAAGTCCATCACTTTGAGACTGTCTGATGGGCACAGTCCTCCTGCTTCAGCTCAGCACCATCCAGCACAGCAAAGGTCAGAACCACCTGAAACAGTGAAAGCACAGCTGGTAGAACAGCATCATGTCTCTCCTGGCTAATAAAAGCGGGTGGAAACAGCTGTGTGATCTGCTCAGGGTCTCCTCCTTGCTCATCAAACTCATGGGAAGACATGAGGGTTTGGCCACTCAGACAATCAGCACTCGGCCTCGAGGGAACAAGGATCACGAAGTCTTTGCAACACAAGGCACAGCTCAGTGTTGACTGGCTGCATGTTGCACTCAGAAGGAGCTGTTGGCATTCACCAGGTTATTTCTTTTCCAGATGCCAGTCATCCATTCAGCATTCCTGGGAGCAGCACAGAGGTGGTTTTATGTCACTGTGATGGTGCCTTGTGGCTACAGAGTTGGAACCTTCAGGCTCAGCTTTGCAGGACTTCGCTGCTGCTTCCTCGGAGTGAAGAACAAGGTGTCACTATTATGATGTGGTAGGTGCAGTATCCAAAAGGATCTGGACAAGATTATTGAGTGGAATAATATTAGTGGCTTCTCATACCCCTTTATTGCTGGCATATCTAGGCTGAGGCATCTCCCATTATCCTGTTATTGTGGTGTTGGCTGAGGTCTGGTGTTGTCCATGGATTTCCCTGGTATGTGACTGCCATGGTGTGGAGGGGACAGAGGGGGTGAAATAATCAGGTGATTTTCCTGGGCAGCAGCAGGCAGAGGGTCCTGGTGGATATTTGTGTTCCCTGCTCTTCTCAGGTGCTCCCCCTCCAGAAAAACTCCCTTACCAGTAGGTTTGTTTCCTTTAAACAGGCAGGGAATAATACCAGGAAAAAAAAATCCATCCTAATAAAAGGAAGGCTATTCTTTGTTGCTGTTTGGGGGAACATTTTTGTGCAAAGACTTTTAAAATTTAGTTTTGCAAAGAGATACCTTAGAACACTGACAATTGACAAACAAGCTGGAGCAGGTAACTGGATTGTATCAAGACTGTTTGGTGATGCACTGACATTTGGTGTCGTGACTCCATTAATCAAACTTATTTTGGAGGAAATTCTTCCTGGTTCATTCATCCCCAAATAATTTACACTGGGAGCAGTGGGTCTAAACCTCTTTGGCAGACTGGAATGGAGGAGCATGATGAACAGCTAGCCTGGCTCCTGAGTGACCAGACACTCACTGCTTACCAGGGCTCTCCTTTTTTCCAGGCATGCACTGAGTCTGTTGTGCCTGGAGGGAGCTCACAGTAGATATTTGTGAATGATAAAATAAAAGGGGGCTGAGGGCCCAGGGACTCAGCAGAGGATCTCAGGTGAAAGAAAGCCCAGTTGTTAACCTTCCTGTGCCTGATATGTGGTTTGTCAATTAGGCAGCAGGAGCTGAGTTGGTTGTATATTGACCTACAAGCATTAAACAACTGGCTGGGAGCCATATCCTGTGAAGACTGTGCTGTCCTTCTGATTTGAAAAGCAGCACCACAGTCGTGGTTCCACTTTGGGTTTTTGAAACACGGGCTTTAGTAAAAAAAAAAAAAAAGAAAAAGGGAAAGTATCTTTAACCAGGTGCACTTCGACTGTTTATTTGGAAAAAATAAAAAGTGTTTTGCACAGAAGTATCCGTAGTTTTCCAAGGGTTATTAACATGCATAGCCATGCCTGGCTTGACCGTGCAGTGTGCTCCTAGACAGAATGACAAAGCTGGAAAAATGAAGTCAAGGAAATATGAGCTGATTTATTTTTTATATGTAACAAGCTAAACCTTGATCCAGTGCATCTGTGGAGCAAAAGAATATTTGTCCAGTTCCACCATCGAAAACACTGAGAAACACATGAGGTGAGTGTGAATTGTCTCAGCGGAACTCGTCTATTCTCCAGACATAATTAAGCACTGGCCCAATTTTTAATGCTGGCTACTTAATTGGATGTCAGAAATTCCACATTTGGAGGTTCAGTTTGACCTTTAGTTACATAAAAGAAGCATTTAAGAGTCTCCAGTGAGTGTCAATGTCTGAATGCAGATGCCTTATTTGAAAGCTGTGCTCCTTTACAATGGTGCATTCCAGGAGGAGAAAGCCTTGATCCTGCAGAGTTTGAAGCAGGCTCCAGCTTGCTGCCACTGACACCAGCTTGTTGGAATCCACTCATTCCAGGGAATGGTACACTAGTGAGGACAAGCAGATGTGAAAGCAGTTGCAGGGTTCAGGTCCAAAGTAGCATGAGATCTTTTTCCCATCTAAATACTTAAAAGTTTGAGAGTATATTTTAATTTCAAGGTGGAGCTTCAGAAAGGAAAGCTCAGATAACCATCTTTCTCAAACACCAGAGGATTTAGAGAAAACACCAAATCAATTACAGTGAGACTTCTAGTAAGTGGCAGAGCCTGTTAAAGCTGGTGTGAGCAGGTGAAAAATGGGACTTTGATATACACACAGGGTCATTTTGAATCCAGCCAGCCTGGAGGAGATAATAGCACTGAAACCTGGCAAGATCACCTGTGGCTCACACCATCCACCTGGGAAAGAAGCAGAGGATGGGGACATAGACAGGTACTGGAGATGTTGGTAATCCCTGTGAGGTGTCCTGAAGGAACACTTCTGGAATAAGGAAGTCCTAAAGCATCAGAAGCTGTTTGCTCAGTGAGGCTTTGTCTAAGTCCCAAGACCTGGAGAGACTCTTACAGCTTGTGATCCCTCAGGCTTGACTCCTGTCAGTCCATTGCACAGCAGGGTGAGAGCCATGGGAAGCAGGTGATCCTGCTGCTGACACTGCTCTGGTACAGGCCTGTGTAGGTTGGGGCTCACAGGTGTCACAGTATCCCAAAGGTGTCTCAAAGATACCTTTGCACACAGGCTGTGATTCACTTTCTGTGGTTTAAAAAAGTATCACAGAATTGTAGAATGGACTGGTTTGGAAGGGACCTTAAAGATCATCTCATTCCAACTCCCTGCCATGGGCAGGGACACCTTCCCCTAGACCAGGTTGCTCCCAAGCCCTGTCCAACCTGGCCTTGAACACTTCCAGGGATGGGGCAGCCACAGCTTTTCTGGGAAACCTGTGCCAGGGTCTCACCACCCTCACAGCAAATAATTTCTTCCTGATATCCAGTCTGAACCTACTCTTTCAGTCTGAAACCATTCCCCCTGTCCTGTCACTCCAGGCTCTTGTAAAAGGTCTCTCCCCACATTTCCTGTGGGCTCCCTCCAGGTACTGGAAGACCCCAGTTGGGTCACCCCAAAGCCTTCTCCAGGCTGGACAATCCCAATTCTCTCAGCCTTTCCTCGCAGCAGAGCTGCTCCATCCCTCTGATCATTTTGATGCCTCCTCTGGGCTCACTCCAACAGCTCCATGTTGTTCCTGTGCTGGACCCCAGATTTGGGGGCATCTCCTCTGCAGGGGGGGTCTCACCAGAGTGGAGCAGAGGGGCAGAATCCCCTCCCTCACCTGCTGCCCACAGCACAGTTCATGTCTGGGCTATGAGCACACATGGCTGGCTCGTGTCCAGCCTCTCCCCAAGCACCCCACAGTCCTTCTCCCCAGGGCTGCTCTCCACCTGTTCATCCCCCAGCCTGGATTGAGACTGGGATTTGCTCTAACTCAGGTGCAGCACTTTGCACTCGGTCTCGTTAGACCTCATGAGATTCCCACGGGTCCACTTCTCAGCTTATCCAGGTCCCTCTGGATGGCATCCCATCCTTCAGGTGTGTCAACCACACCACTCAGCTCGGAGACATCTGCGAATTCATCTTGTTACAACAGCAGGAAATGAACTCTGCTGACTAGTTTTTAAATGCTGTGAGCTGCTTACAAGATTTAGGAATGAGGCGAGAACCTCCAGACTTAGCTTTGGTTTCTGATATTGCTTGGATCTGTATGTACAGATCCCCCATGTTATGCTGAAACACATTTGTTTGGTCAACTAAATCAGTGTAAAAAATGTAGCTTTAAGGGTAAAACTGTCATCAGTAAAAGGCACTGCTCATGGAAGTGTGCTCCTCACTTGCCAACTACTACTTGGCAGGAACAAGCAGGCAAGGTCATGAGTTTGGTACTTTCTGGAGAAGGATGCAATGTACTTCCTACAGGCTGCAAAATCCAGGGGATGCCAGACTACCAGCACAGAGTCATTTTGTTTCCTGAGCCACGGGGCATGTTCAAAACCTGCAGATAATTTCTCTACTTTAAACAAATGTTCTTTCTGTGTATGGCTTGCAATTCACACAGGGCAAATGGCCACGAGAAAACAAAACTAAATGAAAACTGGACTGCCAGCACTGAGTGTGCTTCTCTAACTTGAATTACATCCACATTATTTGCTGATGCAACTGTATATATGTAAAACAATTTGAACTGGCTGGTCTAAGTGTATAAAGTCCTGGAGCAAACACAGAATTCCCCAGGAGAATTATGGTTGTCTTTAGAAGTAATTCTTTTTCTCATTGTATCTGTTTTTAAAAAATAGTGTCACACATAAAGATCTGGAGGTTCTTTCCAGGCACAAAAGAATATTGCCTAAAAAACAATGCATGGATTGGTTAAGTGTAGTGTTTTGATCATAATCTATGGAATATACAGGGGAGCAAATTACAGTCTTGTTATTTCTGGTGGTTCTTAAATCACAAGTTGCTGCCTGCAATATTATGACCACGACTTCAAAAGTAAAGACAGTCATATAATAAAATAGTTTTAAGCAAAAATAACTTAGGGTTCACATTTCCAGGTTTTCCTCTGTAATTCTGTGAATGAGAAGCATAAAGAAAAGGAACACTGGCAGTCTCAGGATTCCAGGAGCTGGAGCTTTCTTTCCTCATTATTATTATTATTTTTAAATGCCCTCCCTGTACGAGAATAAGTAGCAAAACCCCTGAGTGTGACAATCCTCTTGTCACACTGAATTTCCTGCACTTATGTTTTTTAAACAGATGATGGCCCTGGTGAGAGGGTGAGACTGTGTACAAATGTTTGTGGTTCAGAGCCCAGTTTTCCAAGGAGAAGTCCAGGATACACAACACGTCACCTGTTTGTACTCCAGCTCCATGAGGCAACGAAGACAGAATTATACGGCCTTTCCAGATCAGCTCTCCCGTGGGGCTTCAAAGCTCGGTTTTGGTCTCTGCAACACACAAAAATGTTTCCCCACATGAATTCAAATATTACTTCTTGGCTGTACAGCTTGCTACAGGCTTTATCCACCGGTGTTACACTCTTATACTGTTTAACCATTCCGACACTAAGGTGGGGAGATGGGTTTGCCAACTTGGTATTAGTCTGCCTTTGGCTAAGGAAGTATTTACATTTCTTGTTATTATTGCTAAGCAGATTATTCACTGTTTATGTGAAGAAAATTTATAATGTTTTGCAAGGTTGTAACATACCTAATGAGAGACACAGGGGATTTTGCCAGGTGGGGTTCCTCTGCTTCCAGTGGGATCCATTGGTATGACTGACTTTGGGAGCAGCAGAAATCAGAGCCAGGGTGGATGCTTTTATTTGATTTTATGTGAGTTTTGAGCCCAACTGAATGCCTGGGCATGGCAAAAGAAGGATTGCTGCTGTCTTTAGTAGCACTGGAGGATGTCCAACAAAGACTTTACTCAGATTAGGGCTGATGCTGGCATGGAGCTCTTCCTCTGTGCCTTTCTCCTACAGCTTGCTTCCAGGCTGTGAAAGGAAAATTTACCCTGGGAGGAGGAACAACTTGAAGATGGTACACAGGTTCTATGTGCTGCCAGTCAGCAGGAGAATCAACCAGTGTCAGACATTCCAACGGGAATGCTTATCCTGCCCCACGGTCATCCATTTTGGGGCATCCATTGCCTCCTTTCCCGCTTGTGCTCCCTGGCCCTGCTCTGAGGACAGCCCTGACACGTAGGCCGGGTGCTGGCTCCCAAGGCATGGAGCAAGTCCAGCAAAGGTAGACTTGAGCAACCCTTCTGCCATGTCAGATTGCTGGACACGGGCATGGAAGGAGCACAGAGAGTGACTGTTGCTCCCAGAAGTGCAGGAACTGGCAATAGAGAGCTCAGGATTCTGTTACAGCTCGTCCTTCCTTACGTATTGTGCAGTTCCATTGATTATTATTACATTTTTAGCGTTTACAACTCTTCCTAGTTCTTTAGCACTAAAAGGTCCTTGGCCAGGTGGCTGCCAGCCAGGTGGCTTTCAGCTCTCCAGTGATATTTATATGAGAGACAAGCTGTGGTCATATTTTCAGACACGTTGTGGTCACATTCTCAGTCAGGAATCAAGGCAAGAATAAAACCATTCTTTCCCCCTCTCTGGTTAGAAATGTTGGACAGAGGCATCCTTCTGCTGTCATTCCATGTCTGTACATTTTGGAGTGGACAATGGCTGGTGTCAATCACCCAGAAAGAGCAGACAAGGAGGGGAATTGATGTGCGAGCTCAGCCTCGAGGGAGAACATGCAGTGCAAGGAAATGGAGAAGGCAGGATACTTGGAGCCACTGAGTGTGACCTTTGTGCATCAGATTGTGATTTTTGGCTTTTGAAGGCAAGTAGGTGGGCAAAACAGAGCAGAGGAGAGATTTTTCACTAGCCAGCTCCAGGCTTGCCTTTGCCAAGAAAATAACTTTAAGTGCAAACGGAAACCCAATCATATACAACTGCATGTGGAATGTCAAGGGATGGAAATGTTGTGGGAGATTCAAAGTCCATGTTTGCTTTCTTGGTGTGGGCTTTTTTTTTTTTTTTTCCGTGCTCTCTTGAAGAGGAAAATGGAATTTTGAGTGGGGAAAAGAAAGATCTGGCAGAACTGATAAAGCAAAATATACATTGACACTACCTGACAATAATATGCATTTAGCTGCCAACAAAGGGAATGCTAAATAAATATGGATCTCTTACCGAGTGCTGCTGGTTAGATTTATTTTGGTTTTGAGTTTTTTTTCCCCTTCCCTCAGTGTTTTTGCTAATTATAAGCTCCAGCACCAAGAATATTTAATTTTGCTGAAAGGATGTGTGGTTTTCGGGGTGGTGGGAGTGAAGCAGCCAGGAGTGCTACAGAGGGGAAGTGTCCTAAAGCAAAGGTTTGAAAGCATTTTCTATCCATCCGAGCAAGCACCTTGTGCTGTTGGGATTTAGATATATTTTTACCACTGAGCTCAGCTTCAGGGTGTTCTCTGCATGTGCACTTAGAGTTTCAGTGATATAACTCCACAGTTCAGCAAGGTGGATCCAGCTGTGTCAGGATTAATGCCAATTTTATTTGTTTTGCTGATCTACCTTTATTAATTTTAAAACCTAAATGCAGAATGCTGTTTTAAAAAACTAGTGACCCTTCCAGAGAAGCTGTGGAGTCCAGACCTCTGTGAATATCTGTGTTGAATGTCCTTGTTCCTATTTTTCTATGCTGTGGTCACCTCTCTTTGCTTCTGGAGGCATCTGCTGCAACCCAGAGATCATCAGCTCTTCTGTCAACCCCTTTGGAACTTCAAATATTTGTCAAAGCAGAAGAGTTAATTTAAGAGAGAAACTCTTACTCCATCAAGGTTAAAAAAAAATATAAATCTATTTGTGACTCCTCAGAGCATGCACAGAGCTAATCAATTGGCAGAAACTGAGAGAAAGTTCTCAATCTGATTTATTTTAGTCCCTGTTTTGTTTGTGGGGAAGTGGCTGCACAGAAGCAATGTGGCTTCTCCAGTGAAGATGTGTGCTTTGGCATTGCCTTCAGGAGTCAAATTAAAGGTTCTGTGTGTTATTAGGAACAGCTTTTTTATTAAACTCACTAATTTAAGATACAACAAATAAGCATAATCTGATGTGCTGATCAGTGACAAGTCAGCAAGGTCACTGAAGGTGTTACCAGCTGAGGAAATGTGTGTTTGCTGCTGCTGAGTCAAAACAAACAAAGGTTTTTTCTTTATTGCCTTAGAACTATTCTCCTAACTGTGAAGTGGGTCCAGTGCCAGATTCATTTGGTGTCTCATCTGCCTTTATATGTGAAGAAAACGTTGTAGGTCACAGGTTATCAATAACCTGCCCCAGTTTCAGATGGATTTGAGGGGACAGGACTTGGATGTACCAGTTCAGGAGAGGATTCATGGCCCGTGGGGAGCACTGTACTGGGAGTGCCAGAAGTGCTGCTACCAGGCACATTTTTTTCAAGTTCTCCCATTGCCTTGCCATGTCTTTGTGCAGGTTCCAGTACCACAGGAGCTGCAGAGCAATCCTGGCAGAGCAACTCCCACTGAAACACTTGCTGCCAGGAAACACTACTGCTGTGGAACTCCTGGAGTTGCTGCTATAGCTGTGTGTTTATAGCTCATGATCTGCTGATGGGGAGTGGTGATCTGTGGTTCTAGAGCTGGCTGAACCAGCTGAGCCATGATCCCTGGAGTCCAAGAATTTTTCTGTGGTCACAGAGTTCAGTATCTTCGGAGCATATCTCAGGCAGGAGATGTTGGCTGTCTTCCTGCTGAATACAAAGGCATAGGATGCTCCAAACTCAAGCTCCTTTAATTTTCTGACTGTAGATATCATGGAGCTGGAACTAGGGATTTCTTTTTTCATTTTCCTTTTCCCCCTCCTTTTTAATGTAAAATGGTTTAAAAAATCAGAAAGTACTTTTACAAATAGAAGCCCTTTACTTCTTTCTCCTGCTACTGTGATGATGAACACAATTAATTGTTCTTCTCACACTGGACATGAAGCTGAAACAAACATTAAATTCAGAGAAACTGTAGCTGGAACATGTAAGAACCAAAGTCATGCCGGTCTTTGGGATTCAGGTTTGGAAGGAGAAAGTGGGGACACTGGTCACAGCCTTGGCATTTCAGCCTCAAAGCTGTGTTCTTTTAGGGTCATTTTACTCAAATGATCATCAACTAGCATGTTAACAGCAGTTATTTGTATTTTCCAGGTTGCTTCTACCACTGATGGTCTGTTTTTCTCTACCTGGACACCCAGGAAAAGACAGCCCTGCTTCACTTCAGATTTGGTAAGTTCCCTTTGGGACAGGAAAACCCCAAAGCCTTAAACTGAAAACTCACACCTAGCCATGAACCTAAACCAGTCCAAATAAATGCTCTGAGGCAGCTGTCCACCTGTATCCTGATATCTCTGAAGAGTGGCAAAAGCATGGAATATCTTAGTTACAGCAGTCCAGTGAGTCTGTTTTACAGGATGAGCTTTGTGGTGTCTTGGTGCCTTTGCAGTTCCCACAGATCTGCTTAAAGATAATGCTGGTGTTAAAAAAGCACAACAACAACAAAAAACAAAGAAAAAAACCAAAAATGATGATGCACAGTACAGTGTTTATTCTGTCTATGTTTTATCAACATAAAAGCCCCTGAAAAAGGCCTGGAAATAGATATTTCTTTCCTGTTGGCAGCAGCAGTTGGGTTTGCCTCCTGATCCTTTGTTATCTGTTATTGAAGAGCACTGTGTAAAGGTGAGTGTTCACAAAACTGAAGAACTGGAGCTTGCACTTCATACACTGCACTGGTTTATACAACTTTTAGCTTCCCTACATGACTACTAGAAGTTTACATGTGTAATATTTAATGATTTGAGCTGCTGGAACCTCGTCTTCAAAGCTAAAGGGCGAAGCAAAACTGGTAAGTTGTTGTTGTTATTGTTGTTCTGTCAGCACTAAAGAAAGCTGTCATCACTTTTAGAGCTGGGAACTGCACTTTGCATGGTGACAAAGGCTGCTGGTGGTCAAAGAAATGGGACAATACTTTTGGGAAGAACTTGAAAATTCCAGAAGTGGAGTAGTGGTGTTTTTTTCAGGGTTTTCAGTGGAACTGTTCTCTTGCTATTCCCACTGCAAATCTGCCCCCTGCCTCCCTAAGCTAGGTACCTAATGGAATTTAATTACTGAACCAGTTTTTAGTTTTAAATCTTCAGTAATCAGGAAAAAATGTGAAGTGCTAGGTATGTTTTTGCCAAATGCATATGTTTGTGCTGAAAAATCCCAAAGGCAGGTGCTTTTGTGATTTTATTTTTCATCCTAATAATGAGTACAGCAGACCAGCAAGGTCAGGTATGAAAATATAAGTGCAGTGGGGAAATCCAAGCTTATATCACCATATTCCAAGCATTAAGGCATAGTGGAAGAAGGGATCCATATGTGTACAGACTGTGTATATTAGATAGAAACATAATTTTGCCAAAGCAGAATCATCTAAAGGGTTGGAAGTGATCTAAAGGAATGAAGAAGGGAATGCTTTCCCATAAAGTCTGCTGAAAATTTCCTCACATCTGTTGTCATGACAATAGGTGGCACCCTCATGCCAAGGAATATCATCGTGTTCAACTGCACTGGGCTTCCTCAGAGTTACCTACTGCAATTCCTTTAACCAAAATTATTGGGCTTGAAAGCAAAAGCAAGTCAGCAAGGCAGAATATTCATTAGGGAAAGGGGGGGGAAATAAAAATGTAAACTCCATTCTTACCGTTGATTTTAGTGTAAAATTAAACTACCAGTTTAGTATAAAACTAAACTGCTGCTCTGCTGAGGCCTTTGAGAATTTGGAGTGTGGGCCCATCCTGAGTGATGCACACAAACTGTGTCATCATGTCCTTTAGAGCTGAGGCTCTAACAAACCCTTTGGGGTCACTCCAGAGTGCAGGAGGAGCCAGGTGTGTGCTGTTTGATTTATTCCCCAAACCTTGGGGTGGATGGGATATCCAGGCAATCTGAAACGGGCACCTGTGCAAAATCAGGGCATCTGAAAAGAAAGGACTTCTCTCAGTAGAGGTTTTGTCACTTTTACTTCCAATGTGAGTCAAAACCTGGAAAAAAGTATTAACGGGACTTTGTCAAGCCACAGGCATTTTGGCTTGTGGTTTGGGTAAATGTTCAGGTCATTCCTTACTGTGCCCTGAACAGACCTGATTCACAGCTCCTCTGCTGAGACTGAGAGCAGGTCAGGGAGAGGCACAGAAATAAATACCTAAATAAAATACCACATATATAAAACACCTAAATGCACTGTAGAACAGTATTAGGAAGTGTGAAAGACACCTGCTTTTGTTGATTTTGCTGATATAATTTGGTATGAGAAGCTTTGCTAAGCATAAATTTTATGCCTTTTTTTTTTTTATTTTCATGCAAATGGACTTTAAAAATCTGATGGAATTCTGAGGACATAAATTGTCTTAGGCTTGCAGATGGCCCATAAAATTTGCAAAGCTTTGGCCATTTATAAGCTGGAATTGGATCAGAAAAAAGCTTCAGGATTCACTGAACTTTGCTAGTCTTGGCAATGTCTCAGTTACACTTTTGCTGGCATTTTGTTTCATCCTTACATTGCAAAAGTAACATCCTATGGTGGTAAAGCCAAACTGAAGGGGAAAAAGAATTGATGGAGTGAATGAGGTTCCATTCTAATTTGAGTCTCAACACAGCTGGTTCTCTTAGCTAAAATTTTGCTGAAGTAGCTGCGATGTTGTGGGGAAAATTAAAATTTCCACTGTTTCAGGGAATGTTATTTATCTGGACCTCGCTTCGTTTCCCTTTCACCATCTCATGCTGATTTTTGCAAAGGTTTTTTTTTGCAAAGCACTGTGATCCCTGGACAAATTGTATCCCTTGGGATAAATTCTGTCTCCTGGCTTTGGTGCCAAAATGGAATTTCTCAGTTGCTCCTCAGCAGCCCCAGGTCTGGTTGTACAGGTGGTTACAGAGCCAGTGGGACCAAGAGACTTTTGCAAGTCAGTGAAGTTGTCACGTTGCACTTAAGGGGTATTAAATGGAGATGCTTTCCCAGACACCTTCACATTCTCATCTTGGAATGACAAATATCCTCTTGCCACTGCTAAGTCTTTCTACTCCTTGGGTTTCACAGATGGGAAAACCCATGGGTAGAAAATGCTCTTGTAGTCTCTTGTAACACTCATATTTTGCAGCTTCCTATGAAAATACAAATCCTAAACCTGATAGTACATTGACTTATGTTTAAATATTTTTTTTTGCATTGGTAAATTCTGTTCATTATACCATAAAAACAGCTTAAGGAGCCATATATTTTTGGATTTTTACATTGCTATTAGGATAGGCAGAAGCCATTTCATGGCAACATGCACCTTGGGTTGGCAGAGAGGGAGGGAAAGGTTTGCCATCCCAAAACTCTCCCAGTGAGGCTGTCACTTCAGAGAAGTATGTTCTGCTTTTTTATGGGCAAATAATTGAAATGAAATAAGAAAAACTCAGTTCTCTTTTTATCTTTCGTGAAGTAACTGATTATTTTTTTGAGAGCATAAAAAGTTATTCATTCACAGTTTGTGAGACAAAGAGGAAAAAAATTACTCTGTATTTTGGGGGAACTGTGTGGAAAACCGCTTCCCTATTGCATTTTGCTTTCACAAATAGAGTTTTGTTTATCTGGCTTTAATTAGAGTATTTGACATATAAAACCCACTCCTATCTCACAGAAGCTGTCAGATTCCTGAAGAGCAGTGGTAAAACCTGAACACTGACTTTGGGCCTTTAAATTTATATTTAAATTTTAAATTTTGGGTCTTTAAATAACACTCTTCCTGAAGAAGCTCTCTCTCCATACCGATGCTGGACGAAAAGTGCACCACTCATGCACTTGCTTTAAATTCCCTGTACTTTCTTTGGCAGAAGGATGCCAACATGGTGGTGACAAAGTCATCAGCTTGTGGAATACTTTGCCATTTTAGTGAGTCACTTACTGTGTGGTCCAGGAACTTGTCCTGTTTCCACTGGAAAAACGAGCTTCTCCTGGCAGCAGATGCCAACTGAAGGCAGGGTGACTACAGCTCTGCCAGCTGCTGGTGATGAGGTGGAGGTTTAAGTTTAGAATTTGCTGGTCCTGAGTGAGAGAGAAATCGAGTCTGACTTTGCTTTATTCATTCCAAGAGTTCCCTGAGGCCGGTAATAAGACATGGCTAATCTGTCCTGGGAATGCTCTGATGGATGGACTGGAGCATCCCTCTGGGACCTGAACTGTATTTTGGCTTCCTTAGCTCCTGAACAGTATTAGTTTAGTTTGTTTACATACTGTGTCTGAAGCTAAATAGAAATGTATTTAGAATGCAGGTTTTAGCTCCCGTTTCACATCTCCTAATCCCATGTTCAGTGCCCAAGGGTGCAGTTCCTGTCTTGAAAAATCAAAAGAAGTTGAACAATGTTTTGTCCCACATCTCAGTCTTGGGTTGTGGCAATGAGCTGCAGCCCTTCAGAGCAGCAGGACTGTACTTTGGAGCCTCACTGGGAATGAGGAGGAGGATTCCAGTTCATCATGTGCTCTTTCTATCCCCAAGTGGAAACATTGTGCAAAAAGTGTCATCAAAGTGCCACCAGCCTTCCCTTCCTGTAAGCAGCAAGTCTCCAAAGGGACTCAGGAACTGCAGAGAACATGTTTAATTCTTAGAGGGAAGAGGCAACACTGGCTCTTTCCTATTTCTGGTCTCCCCTTGTGTAAAGACCAAGTTATATGGTGAGATTTCTGTGCTAAGTGTCCCTTACTGTGAGCTCCCAACAAAATCCTCCTGGGCAGCAATATTATTGGGAAACTCCTCGGAGGGAATAAGGAAATCAGGTTCAATATATGAGAGAGAACCAAAGGGGTTTATCTGTGCATGTTTCTGGGGTTCTCTTGTCACTGGCAGCAACCTAAAGGGGTAGAAAACCCTTTTGGTTTCATCTCTTCAGTTTTGTCAATGCAGCAGAATTCTTCCATTTTTTCCCTTTATCTTTTAAAAACCTGTAAGTGCATCATCAATTGCAGTTGCTATTAATGCATCCTATTATTTGCAATTTACCTCACCCTGGCTTTAATTAATGACTGATTTCAAGATTGCTCAGTACTGAGGGGTTCCTTGCCACAGGGGTGGCAAATCTGTACTGGAAGATTCCTTAACAAGGCTCAGCTTCCTCCCACATCCATCAGAATATCCAAAGGATAACAGAGATTAGTTGTGCACTCTTTGCTCTTGATGGGAGAGAATTTAAAATGTCTAGAGCAT